TTGTCCTTCCTGTTCCCTGGATGTCTGTCCTAATCTATTATCCCGTTCCTGGATTCTCAGAACAGAGGAGTGAGAGTGACGACCATATGTGTAATGCTATTATGTTTTATTTTGTTTAATTAAGAGGCAAAAGAATACAGAGTTGCCTCTGAGATCTTTTTTCTCGCCAAGAAATAATCTAGTCAGTGACTCAGGCTGAGGAAATTAGAAGGCAATTTCCAGAGGCTGCTGTGTAAACCCAAGTCAGAAGTCCACACAACACTTGTCTAATTCACAGCCTCCAATGGCCATTAACTCGTGCTGGCCGCGGACATCTCTTTGGAAAATGCGGCCGCTGGCACTTGCAATTCTGGAGCTGAAGCCAGTCTCCTATGACATCAAATTGGTTGATTTTTTCCCTTCCCTTTCCCTCCCTCTGCCCGCCACCACACACAGTGATTCCAATCCTGATTTGACACCCTCCCCCTCCCCCAACACTCTCACTCAGTGCTAGAACTAGTCATGACAAACGGCAGTTGTGCTCCCTGTTCCAAAGGCCTCGAAGGATGTGGTTAGCTGCTCCATGAGCAGGGAGCCTGTCACACCCGTGAATCACCCCTAGGTCACTTCCCTCCTCAAAGAAACAGAAGAAGCTGTTCTTGGGAGTCTGTGAGTGTGTGAGAGCGAAAGAGAGAGAGTGTGTGGACAGACAGCAAGAGTGCTAGCCCATCTGTGGCACTAACCTTGGGGTTAGAATCCTCTCACCTGCCTTTACCTGGAGCTCTACTCTCCCAGATCACAATGGTTCCCTTCTCCCCAACCTACCAGGGAGCCATCAAGCTCCCAGAAGGCCTCGAGGTCTGAACAGCTGTTCCCTGTTTATCTGTTTCTTTTGTAAGTTGGGTGTTTTCCATGGGACAGTAAGGCAACTTCCCCTCAGACTACCTTCCGGGCTTCCCTTTTGCCTCAGCCGATTTCCTTCTCCCTCAACTTCACCTATCAGGCCCTACATGAACTCCACAGCACTGATGTTTAGAAAAACCAAGCAGATATGAGTAGAGATTGGGGGCCATAGTGGGGGACAGAGAGTAAGTAGAAGCCTTACCCAAAATTATCTCTGGCAAATTTCTCAAAAGACTTGGGAGATTACGGGTGAGGATTTGCTCCCCTGCTTTACGGGGACTGCTCCTCATCAGCACAACCTCTGGGCATACAGTGACAGTCACACCTGAGGAGGCGGTTCCAAACACCACCCTCAGGGCTCTCCCACTGTCATCCAGGCCTGAGCCTGGTCCCCCTCAACAGACTCGAGTTGATGAGAAGCACACCATTTTATATTCACACCTTCCTCTAGAGGTTCCCTGACCTGAGTGTACCCAGATCTGCCTTGTAGTAACAGGAAGACCTGAGCAACCTCTAACCTCTCCAGGTCTATACTAAACCCTCTGCATAAAGGAATCAGAGAACCTAGCCCACCTTAGGATATGCTCTGTCAACGGCAAGAATCCCATGAATGGGGCACATTAAGCATTTGACACCATCGATGCAAACTTCTAACACTGGCTATAATTTGTATTCCCTAAAAAGTTCTGTAGAGGATCAGAACATTCATGACTAGTATTCATGTGAAGTAAACCATCAGAAAGGAAATGACTGTGAAAGCACAACTCTCAAATTCAAACAAATAATTTCTTGTTTGTGTTAGATAAACTAGCTTCTTTCCACCGTGAGACTTGATACACACCTGCACATGCATGTGAGCACAAAGAATTATGGGAACCTGAACTCATATCCTTATAAGAAACGTACAAATGACAATATCTGCAGTTTGCATTATCAGGAAATGGTCGTAGGCCAAAGTCTGTTTACATAAGGCCTCCCAAGCAGCAGCTCATCAAAGTTAAGAGAGGAGCCCTGTTCTGGGTAGGAAGCCTGGCCTAAGCAGCAGCTGCCCACCCTCCCCTAACTCCACTGCATGTGGGGGCTTGGTAGAGAGGGAGGAAGCCAAAGGCTTCCAAAGTATCATCCAAAGGATGTCTATTTATGCCTTTCATAAATAATCAAAAGGCACAAAACACCCTTCGGTGTAAAGGCAGCTCCGCTTGCTGGGGGATGAGCCTGCCCTTTACTGGGGAGCCTGAGAGAACCTTTGCAGTGTGGTCCCGATATCCTGGAAGCCAGCAGAGTCACTCCTGCTTGGGCCTCTCATCAGCTAGCTCTAGCTAACATGCACATCCCATAAAACCTCTGCTCTGCAATTTGCCAAACCACAGACTCAGAATTCACTACAGAAGAGGAGAGGCGGGAAGGAGGCATGCTTCTTCAGTGCAGAGTGCTTCCAAAACACATGGATATGGGGTGCAGCGTGTCCTGCCAGCTACCCACAACAGAAAGCGTTCCCCAGAACACTTGACCTGCTATGTGGTGTCCATTGTGCAAGGGCCAAGAGAGGAGGAAATCCTGAGCTCAGAGACACAGCCTCCCCTACCTGCTCCTCCTGCCCTGTGACCCCACCACACACTGTACTATCAGAAACCTTCCTCCTTGTTATGCATAATGTCACAAGTGTGCTACCCTGAAATAAATATTTGTTCTCCTAGTAAATCCCAACTAGACTTAAGAAACAACTTCAATGAACAAGCCCTATACCATGGGATTTAGGTCTGGTAGACCCAGGTGCCTGTGACTAACTATTCTGGAGTGACTTTACCCCATCTGGTTCTCAGCTTCATCTGTAAAATGGGGGGAGGGGGGGAAGGGGGTAGGGTTGATGAGTCCTCAGGTCCCTTGCCAGCTGCAGGATTCCTTAGCACGGAACACTTTCTCCCTTAGCTGTTTTCCATAACCTTGGATCAGAGCTCTGTATGGGCCCATCTGTTCAGGGACAGCACTCCTATCTCCAAACATAATGTCAATTCTTACATGGGAAGTGGAGATGTCCAGGGATACACTCTGTCTGTAAAAGGGGGGGGGGGTGCGGAGTGATCATTTCAAGGATATTAGGCCTCCTTTTGTACTTTGCACAAAGAATAAGTTATTACCAGTCTTAAAACCCCCAAACTTTCTTTTTCTTTGCCAGACCATTAATAGCTGCTTTTCAAAATTGCTCTTAGTCAGACTCTGACCCATAATCTACTATTTAATGAATGCTTGTTAGATGCCAGGAACTGGGTTAAGTGCTTTGCATGGATGAGCTCATTTAATTCTCCAGACAATCCTATGAAGTAGGTACTATTATTGTCCTCACTTTAAAATGAGGAAACTGAGGCCCACAAAGTTTACACAGCCAGTTAGCAACTGAGCCAGGCTTTGAACAAGGCTACTCAGAGCCCCGCCTCTCAGTGCTGCCTGCCATGGGTCCAGGTTGCTTACTCAATACTCCAGGCTGACAGTGTCCTACATCTGTAACAGTGAACATCACTGGTCAGGCTCTAAGATCTGATGGGTCACTTAAAATCCAGAGCAAGAAAAACACCTGTCTGGATCTTAGAGCGGAGAGTGCCATCTGTTGAAAGCAGTGCCAACTTTGAGGATCAGAAAAGAGGACCCCTAAAACTTAGCCTGCAACAACTGAGAAAGTTGTTTAGGAGAGCTGACTTGAAAATAAGCACTGTGAGGTGCAAAGGGACAAACCTGGGTCCTGGAGCGGAGTGACCCAAGTCCTTCAAAATGAGCTCTCTGAAAAGGCAGAGGAAAATATTTGCTAAACCAGTTAAACACAAAAGGAGGTATACTTTTAATGCCCCCCTGGGGCACCCACCTCGGACCCCAGGTCCCAGACCAGCCTCTGCCTTTCACCTTTTCCCCAATCTGAGCCCATTTGCACAACAATAAAGAAACCCAAAGTTCAGAACTATTGGTGATGAAGGCAGATAATGTAGCTTAAGGCTGACGTGAAGACCAGCCTGTCCCCTTCCAGCAGAGAAAATAAAAGGCACTTCAGGGATCAATATGCAGTGTGAGGGCAGCAGACAGCAGCCTGTTTTAATTGTTAAAATTAATGCTCTGAGCATTCTAAACGCTCCTTTTGCAAATTAGTGCCTAATTTGCAAAAATGACGTAGTCCCGCTGTCCGCTGTCCCAAAGTCCTCCAGCTTTGGATGCCCAGCGGTCTTTTCTATCTCAAGTCCAGGAGCAAAGACCCTCAGACAGGCGTCCCCAGGCGGCAAGGACGCCTTGTTTACATCCTAAGGTGCTAAGGATGGGAAGACAGGCGCGGCTAAGATGAAAGAGGGACATGTCACAAAGACCCCGGAGCTCGCTCAGTCACCCTTAGCCCCTGCTCATTAAGTTTGGGGGAAGCGAGGGGGAGGGGCAGTCTGCCGTTCCTCGGAGACCGCAGCAAACATTTGCCTCCCCGTGTCTGGAGATGGAGCATCACTTAAGAGGAAATGAACCCGGTTAAGGGTCACGTCCAGAAGAGGGATAAAAGGAAAAGCCACAGTTCTCCTCACATCGACGGACACAATGATTTTCAGAAGGAAATCAAAGCTCAGGGCTAAGGGGGGAGGTGGGCAGGGTCGCGGCGGCTTCCTTCAGCCCCCAGACCCAGGCCTAGGGAGGCAGAGACCGCAGCCAACGTGGTTGGGGGGCGCCAGGCTTCCCCCCCGCGCGCGCGCGCGCGCGCCTCCGAAGCATCTCGGTCTGTGTGAGCGCGAGCGACCCGAGCCCCCGGGGAGGAACGGGAAGATGCTCTTTCCCCACGGAGCTCTCAGGGAGGACTGCGAGCGCGCTCCCCCCACCATCCATCAAAGCCCAGGACAGATGACTTCACCGTTGTTACAGAGAAGGGCAGCCACTTGCCAATTCCAATGCCAAAAAAAGAAAACGAGGAAGGGGGAGTGGAGGAAGGACAGGAACGGCTTCCCTGGAGATCAGAGCCCAGCCAAGAAACTCCACAGCCGCGAGCGGCCCTGGGGACGCTCGGCTCCGGGACTTGGCGTGGGGGCTGAGGGCAGCGGGAGCCCTCCCGAGGGGCCCGGCGAAGCCTTCGCCACAGGGGTCGGTGGGAGCGTACTCACGTAGTGCTTGGAGGGGTTCCTCCGTTTCTCCACGTCCACCACGGTGGCATCTTGCACGCAGTAGGCGAGCATCTTCCCCCACAAAGCGAGTGGCGCCCCCCGGCGGCGTCACCTTCTCATCCCGGCCCGG